TTTTTTTTTTTTTAATTAAATATTCAAAATAAACTTTTTTTGATCCACTTGCTTGCTGATTTTGTTTTGGGATTCAGTCACTTAGGTGGCTCCCTGTCCCCTGACCCTGTAATTTCTCAGCTCTAGACCAACTAAGGATCCCCCTTTTAAGAGGCACTTTTTATGAGGGAACTGTATTTATGCTCTGACGTTGTCAAGTTTTTGGACAAGGATTCTAAGCAAAATAGAAAACGTTCCTTTAGAAATCCATTTTTTGAACTATGCTTCCGAAACCCCGAGATGGTTATCGTGCGGCCCAGGCTCCGTTATCCTTTGGGGTGCAGTAAATCGAGGTCCGAGAGAGCAACACTCGTGAGCAGAGGGGCTGGTGGACGCGAGGCCTGGCTCCTGGGCCTGCCCTGGGCCGACCGCTGGACACGGTAACCTAGAAGCAGCCGGTGAACGCGGGGCGTGCGGAGGCTGGCGTGGACCTGACCGGGTGGACAGCTTCGGTGAGCAGACGTGGGCCGCCCGGCTGAGAGGCGGTCCGCTCCTGGTCATGCGGGTTTGTGCCGTGGAGCCGTCCCCCCTCGCCGTCTGGTGTGGAGGGGCCGCGTGCTGTCCGCAGACCTGGCCCCCCAGAGGCCACGGCCAGAGGCAGGCATCCCCTGGCGGGCGTCTCGTGTGGCAGGACAGGGCTTTGAGACTTCTGGAAAAGCTGCCCTCGCCGCCCCTGGAAGACCCGGGGGGGGGGGGGGGGGGGGGGGGGGGCAGCACAGATCACAGACCATCCAGATTCACGCGTCTTTCCTTTTTTCAGGAGCTGGTGTCCCCCACCGCCCCGGGGTAGTGGTAGGGACCATGTGCGGGAGGATCACAGGGGGGTCTGTTCTTCTGTGTGTGTTTCACTCGGCATCACGTCCCCCGGGTCCACAGCCACGTTGTGGCAGGCATCAGGGTGTCCCTCCTTGTCAGGGCCGAGTGACGGTCCAGGGTGGGGCCAGACCTCGTCCATCCACTCGTCCGTTCACGGACATTGGGCTCGCCTCCGCCTATTGGCTGCTGTGTTCCTGTTTTCTCACGCACCTGCTCCGTCCGGCTGCCCGGCCCACCCCAGTCCGCCGACGCCCCCTCGGGGATCCCCGGGGGCTGGGACCGGAGCTGCGTCTTACCTGACGTGCCCCCAGGTTCTGCCGCCACATCTGTCCTGGGAACGTTCTCAGCAGCCGCTCC